CGTAACTGCTTGACCGTTGATGGTTTGGGGAACTCCTTTATAGACTGGACCCTTTCGGGCGGAGGTTCTGTCCCATGTTGGGATACCATGTAGCCTAGGAAGCGTACTTGCTGTGCCCCAAAAACGCATTTCGCCGGACTGATGAGTATGCCGTATTTTTGTAGTCTGGCGAATAGCTTCCTGAGATACTCCTGGTGCTCTTGTTCTGTGGTAGAGGCCACCAGGATGTCATCGATGTAGGCGTAGCAGAAGTCCAAGCCGTGTAGAACTTCATTAATAAACCTTTGAAAGGTTTGTGCCGCGTTTCGTAACCCAAAAGGCATGTACAAAAACTCAAAGAGCCCGAATGGCGTGGTGATTGCCGTTTTCGGGACATCTTCAGGGTGTACCAGGATCTGGTTGTAGGCTCTAACTAGATCTACGGTCGAGAAAATTTTCTTCCCTGCTAGAGTTTGCGAAAAGTCCTCGATGTGAGGAACCGGGTACTGATCGGGTACCGTGCGAGCATTCAGGCGTCTGTAGTCTCCGCATGGGCGCCAAGCGTTTTCTTTCTTCGGCACCATATGTAGAGGCGCGGCCCATGGGCTTTTTGAAAGGCGGATTATCCCTTCTTTAAGCAGGAGATCAAACTCTGCTTTTGCAGTTTTTAGACGATCAGGAGCCAGTCTTCGGGGACGGCATGCTTCCGGTGGTCCTGATGTTGTCTTGATGTAGTGCCTGGTGTTGTGTTCTGCTCTTGTTAGTTCCGTGCGTAGGCGGGTAATCCCTGGATATTCCGCTATGCGGTGGTACAAATTCTCTTCCTTGAGAACCTTGACTGATGCAGTCGTGGCGTGGTCTATGGTCCCCTGGGTTTTCAAGCCTGTTTTGCCATCTATTAACTTTCTTGCTCGTAGATCCGGTAACAGATGGTAGTGGGATAAAAAATCCGCGCCGATTATTGGTTGCGATACGTTCGCAATGACAAAACGCCAAGGAAAAGACCTTTTTAGACCAAGTTTCGGTTCTACGGTGATCCATCCATACGTCGATATCGCCGACCCATTAGCTGCATATAGGATGTATGCTGTGGGTTGCTTCGGACCTTGGATCGCGGCACGTGGATATACGCTGACGTCGGATCCGGTGTCCACGAGGAATCGTCTTTTGGATTCCTGACAGGTGACGAAAAGGCGACGAGGAGTCTGGGTCGTGTCACTGGCCGCCATCAGTGACTCCCCCGCTCGTTTCCCGACTGGAAGTTGCACGGCTGGGTGCATTTTCGAGCTTGTTGCCCGAACTTCCGATGGTAGAAGCAAAGGTGATCCGTTTTCTTCCTCTCCCTTGACTTGCTTCTGTTTCGGTTCCGTGGACGAGGCGTTTGCTCGAGACGTCGAGCCATGGCTGCCACCTGGTCGGTGAGTTGCCGTATTTGGTGGGCCATCGGTGATGGGTCGTCTGGCGCCGTTTTCACTTCGTTGACTGAACGAACGGTGACCTCTTGAATACGGTCCGCTTGTTCTGCGACGTCCTCCAGTCGGTCTTGCGTTCTGGTCGCCAGAATGGCTTGCATCGTGGTTGGTAACCGCCCGAGCCACAACGTGCGTAGTAGTTGTTCGGGTACGGCATTTCCAGCGAGCGTGCGTAGGTTCCGCAGGAATTGCGAAGGCTTGCGGTCTCCCATCTCTTCGTGTTCTAGAAGTTGGCGAATCCTGTGCTCTTGTGAAGCTGACAGTCGACGGATTAATGCAGTCTTAATCGCGAGGTATTTGTCCGTCGCAGGTGGGTCGGTGATTACGTCCTTGACCTCACGTGCGTGCCTCGTGTCTATTTGTGAAAGTACATGGGCGTACTTGGTAGCGTCTTGCGTTATGCCAGCGAGCAGGAATTGTCCTTCGAGTTGTGCGAACCATAACTCGGGCTCGTTCTCCCAGAAGGGTGGTGCGCGGACGGCGACTTTGTTTACGTGTGCACCCGTTGGCTGTTCTGCCGTTGGATTCATGTTTTCCGCCGTGGAGCCTGTTGAAGCCCTTGTCGGCGAGCGCTCCGTCGGCATCTTCACTCACCCGCGAGGATCACGTCGGGGTCACCAGTTTTGGGGTATTGTGTTGTTGGGCGGTTGCTTCTTTTATTTGACGTGATCGGTCGCTCGCGGGGAGGGTGCAGTGACACTTACGGTTTCTTTTAACAAGTAACAAGAATCATCTTTATTGTACTGGGACTACATGTGTGTGTGTGTGTATATGTGTTGGTGTCCGGGAATTGTCCCTGTCTCCTTAGGACTCGTCGAGCCGCCGCATCTAGTCCTTTGCTGCGGGGGCGATGTGTCCTTCGCTGGGGACCACCAGGAATCGGCGCTTGATTTTCTTTCCCTGCGTGCCCGTTCGTGCGCCGTGGTGAAACCGGTCGCAGAACCCGGATGTCGCCGCGGGCAAGGGGAACTGCTGCCGGCCGAGTCAGCTTCCGCTGAGGGAGCCAGAGGGGGTAGAGCTTCCACGGTGTGGGGAGGAAAACGTTGGTTGCCTCCGATGCTGGTGATGAGGGCGTTTCCCACAGAAGCGGGAACGGCGTCCCAGCCCGCGTTGGTGATGGTGTCCGCGGCCCTGGTGACAGGCCTCCCGCCTCGGGCTCCGGGGAGCTGTCTCCAAACAGCTGGTTCAGGCGCCTCCGCAGGCCCCGGCTCTCAGGCGTATGAGCTAGTGCCTGCGCCGAGGAGCTGGCTGCCTGCCCCTTCTCCGTCGTGGTGGGGTGATGGACACCTCTTCGGCGTCGTTGGCCTTTTTGCCGCTTCTTCAGCGGACACGCTTTTCAGCGT